TCGAGGACTGGATCAATAGCCTCGCTGTTCCCACTGACTCACGATCGAAAGAGTTACTGACTAAAAGAATTGCGGACCTTTACGAGGAAGAGGCTGACGAACTCCGCTTGAAGATCCTCGAGAGGAGTTCACCCTGCCGATGCTGTCGTTGGAAAGATCCTGCTCCTAGAGGTTCTCCTGCGCCGAAGATAGTCAGTTTCGACTGCTCCTCTCTATTCGGTAACCGTACCGAAGCCCTCGGACCGAACTGTTCTCCCCGAGATAAGGAAAACGGGTTGTACGGCTATGTGAACGTCGTCACTGACGCTCCTATCCCTCGCCCCAAGCCAGGTTTGGTAGAAGTACCGAGCGCCACTGATAACTGGTCCGCTGACGTGGAAGAAGGAATCGGTCCCCTCGGCAAGCGAGTGATCGGATCGGTAGGGGGCGTGGAAGCTCTATCGTGGGGATTTATCGAGAACCTCCCGGCCGAACTTCTCATCGACTCCGGGGCCGTAGCGTGCCTAGTGCATAGGCGGGTATTGAAGCGTCTCGGCTTAACTAACTCGCCTCTAATGCCCTACGTTGGCAGTCTGAACGGTGTGTCCGGGTCTGCGCTCGATATAGAAGGAGTAATCTACTTGCCGGTGACATTGGGCTCCGTCGAGAAGAGAATACCGTTTGCCGTTGTGCCTAAACTACATGTCGACGCAGTCCTGGGCACCAACGCTCTCAAGGACTTTCGCGCCGTGGTGGACTTGGACGAGAATACAGTCACGCTAAAGGACACGAGAGAGGTGTTCCCTCTGGGGTCTCCTCGGGTGGAAGAGTCTTACCTGTCCCGCATCTCATCTACCATTCGACTCTGCCCTGGTGGACAAGCTCTAGTAGTTGCGGAGGTGCAAGGTCAACTGAGCGACGGGACCACCGTCCTCATAGAAGGGCTTTCTGCGCTGGATGACTCCATTAAAGTTGCTAGGACCCTGTGCACTGTGTATAACGACCTAGTGATCGTGGAAGTATGCAACCCCTCTATCGAGAACACCGTCGTCAAGAGAAGCACCCGATTGGCGAGTGTTACGGTAATCCCAGCGTCGGCGCTTCAGCAAGAAACCGCTGCGAGTGTAAAGCACGGAATCGCCCTGCCCGGCGAGGCCCAGACTAGGGACCAAAGAGCTCAAGACCTGTGGATCCACTCGGTCCTTAGCGCCTCTAATTCGACGACCGAAGTCGCTCAAGAATCCATACCAGGGGTGGACAAAGTACTCAAGGAGGAACTCTACGTCGACCTGGACGAGTCTAAATTGGGGAGCGAACAGAAGAGAATATTCACGGAGTTCCTCCAACCGTTCAAGGACATGTTCGTCGAAACCTCGATGCGCCCCGGACGGACGAACCTGCTCGAATTTTCTATTGATACTGGAGAGCACTCGCCTATAAAGCAACCCCCTTACCGAGTGTCCAAGGCGGAAGGAGACGTGATGGAATCCGAGATACAAGAATACTTAAGGCAAGAACTCATACGACCCTCTTCTAGCCCTTGGGCGAGCCCGGTGCTTATGATCCGCAAACCTGACGGCGGGATACGGTTCTGCATCGACTATCGAAGACTGAACGCTGTGACTATCAAGGACTGCTACCCGATGCCGCTCATCGATGACATTCTAGATGTACTCGGCAACGCTAAGCTGTTCTCCACGATGGACATCGCATCCGGCTACTGGAATGTTCCGATGGCTGCTGATAGCGTGGAGAAGACTGCCTTCACCTGCAAATATGGTCTCTTCGAGTGGCTCGTAATGCCGTTCGGACTGTGTAATGCCGTACCGGGCTTCGAACGACTGATGGAGACTGTGCTTGTTGACCTTAAGTGGCGGACTTGTCTAGTGTACCTCGACGACTGCGTGGTCTTCAGTGAAGACTTTCCTACCCACCTAGTACGACTAAAACAAGTCTTGGAACGGTTCCGGTCGGCGGGATTCAAGCTCAAGATGGAAAAGTGCAAGTGGGCACGCGACCAGGTAGCGTTTTTAGGTCACATCGTCACTCCGTCTGGCATATTGCCCAACCCCGAAAAGGTCAAGTCGGTGATGAACGTGCTCAGACCGCACGACTTGCACACTGTGAGGGCGTTCCTGGGTCTGACTAGTTACTTCAGGCGGTACATCCCGGGATACGCAGCCATATCGGCCCCAATCGAACGGCTTAAGATGAAAGGGGCCCGATTCTTCTGGAGCGACGACTGCGAGGCCGCTTTCCTGCAACTAAAGCGTAAGCTGGTGGAACCTCCCATCCTGGTGTATCCCGACTTTTCGAAGCGCTTCCTTCTATATGTGGACTCGTCTAAGCTCGCTGTAGGGGCATGCTTGATGCAAACCGTGGAGGGGCGCGAGAGAGTCGTGGCCTATGCGAGCAAGCTACTAGTTGGCTCCGAGAAGAACTGGGTCCATAAGGAGGACGGTACGTCGGAGATCGAGTGCTGGGGTATCGTTTGGGCCACGCGCAAGTTCCGCTGCTACCTGGACCGTTGCGAGTTCGACCTATACACGGACCACAAAGCTTTGACGTGGGGTATTCAACGAAACTAATCGTACGAGCAACGCTAAGCTGGCTAGGTGGGCCATGGAGTTGTCTCAATTACGTTTCAAGGTGTTCCACAAGCCTGGTACTTCGATGGGTCATGTGGATGGTCTGTCCAGGCTGTATACCCAAACCATCAATGCTATCTCTATGGCGGAGCTACTCAACGATGCTGACGAGCCCCCTCCTTGTACTGTCGAAGTCGGGGAGACTACGACTCTCGACTCGACTCTGCTCCCTTCAGGGACCTTGCCCGAGGACGCTGGCGAAGCTAGACCCGAGCCGTTCCCCGACGAAGAAGAGGTTACCGACCAACTCCTAGTGTCCCCCGTTGATGTGTTCGGGTTACAACAAACTCGCTTCGTGGAAGAACAGAAAAGGACTCCCTGGATCCAAGCTATGATAGCGTTCCTTAGCGATGGAGCTCTAGCTCTGGACCCTCAAATGCGCACCAAAATCCTGCTAATGGCGCCTAACTACTCGGTAAAGAACGGAGTACTCATGCGTCGCGTACACCTGAAGGCTCGCGCTGGACCGGCGTCTACTCTTGAAGTTCCTGTGATTCCCCTGCCTTTCATATCGACGGTACTACATCACTGTCATAAGGATGTACTTGCCGCTCATGTCGGAGTTACTAAGACGCTCGACAAAGTGCGCAAGCACGCTTACTGGCACGGGTGGAAGAAGGATGTGGCCGAATATGTTCGGGAATGCACCGTGTGCGGCAGTGGTAAAGGCTATCGCCCTTGGAGAAATGGCCGAATGCAGAGGATGCCCGTACAAGAACTATCGGGACCTTTCTCGCTATTAGTGGTGGACGCCATAGGTCCCTTAGTGGCTACTCCTCGAGGCAACAAGTTCAATTACGTCTTCGCTGAATATTTCACTCGATGGGTCGAAGCGTTCCCAGTGGCCCGCTTGGACACTGTAACGTTCGTGGAAGTTATGGTGAACGAAGTGATCTCGCGGCACGGAGTCCCCGAGAAACTACTGAGCGACCAAGGATCCAACTTCATCTCGAACCTGGCACGATCCTTCTACGATACACTCGGGATCAAGAAGTTGTTTGGAGCTGCTTACCATCCTCAGACTCAGGGGCTAGTTGAACGCTTCAACGGCACGCTGATCGGGATGCTTAAGATGTATGTCAACGAAGCTCAGAACGACTGGGACTTATACCTTCCCCGAGTACTGTTCGCATATCGTTCGTCGTATCACGAGGCCCTTAAGGACTCACCATTCTTCAGCCTGTATGGCCGGGACCCGGTGTTACCTCTGGACCTCGCGTTTCTCAACACGAACAACGGATGGAAGAGTAACGAAGTCGCTAGCTACAGACGAAAGCTATTCTTATCTCTACGGGATACGAGACGATTAGTAGAGCGCCAACTCTTGAAGGCCCAGGGCAGACACGAGCAACGACTGAGCAACCAAGTACCGATTAAGTTCAAGGAGGGAGACCCGGTGTGGGTCTACCAGTACTTCTGAGCTCGTCGCGGGGAAAAGACCACGAAGAAGCTCGCTTTCGCGTGGCATGGTCCGTACCGTGTGGTCGGGATCGTGGGAGAGAACTCCTATCGAGTAGCCATCCCTTCTCACCCCAATCGGGTCGTGACCATTAACGTCAATAGGTTGAAACGTTTCCAAGGGCGATGGAGTCGACCGTTCCCTTCTGAAGTACCCGAGGGAGTCCAGTCGAGTCCGGGTGTAGACGACGACGGACCTCTATCAGAAGAGGACCTCCCCTCTACTTGCTTCGTAGAGAGACTCCTGATTGGAGGGGAAGAGACGGACCTGACCGGAGTTCCTTGCTCTGTGATCGACATAATCGCCCGACGCAAAAAGAACCGTGAAGAGCAGTTCCTGGTGTTGTTAGCTACCTACGAGACTCTTTGGAGACCACGAAACACACTATTGCCCACCTACGCTGCTCTGATCAAGGCGTTCGAAGAAACCCGTCGTCGGGAGGGAGACCTACCAGAACTACGTCGCAGCGCACTTTGGGAGGTCGTCCGAGGCAAACCATTAAATAGCCTTATCATAGGTGACTTATAGCTTGTAAACTTAACCAAAGCTTAGCCTGCCTACAATATTCAGTTTACAACTTACCTTACTTTTGGTCTCTTTAGACAACTCTATCGTATAATCTTCGAGATACATCAGATATCATCGACATTTTGTACCTGTGTATTTATAGCTAAATTTAGAGACTGCCTGCTATGCCAGTTTTGGGTGGCATTAAACAGCCTAACGGCAGCACATACATGTACATGTACGAGTCGTATTACGACCGGCGCATAGATCTCCCAGATATTGCTGTCGAGAATTTTGTTCATAGCTCGCCTTTTGTATTTTTTAAGGAATTTTGTGGAAATATTGGTTTAAAAAAATTGTGGATGCCAAGCTTTTGGCGCCAACTCAAATAAATACCAAGTGACAAGATGGACTTTGGCGGTGCTCCGACTGGTAACGCGACGTCCCCACGCGTCAATAAGAAGACCATGGGTGCCTATGTAGGCCACACAGTCGCTCTCGTCGGCGCTGTGGAGAGTCACTCGCCCACGGCCGTTGTACTGCGCACCTCGGTAAGACCACCAGTCATTTCCATTCGTCGAAGAGGTTGATGTGGTTCCTTTAACTGTAACTCTCTAGGACGGTGAGATCGTGAACGTGAAGACGCAGCCAGGCACCGACTATGGCAGCAAAGTAGTGGAGGTGATTGGCCGCGTGGAGGACAGTGAGACCATCCGGGAGTTCAAGACGACGCTCTTCGGTGACAACTTTGACTTGGACGTGTACGACCAGTTCGTGCAGCTCTCGCAGACCAAGTACAAGCATTTGTTCGAGTAGTTTTCGCTACTCTATACCGTAAAGCGGGAGGCAATGAGGCAAATGAAGAGCGAGAATATATAGATTTGCATGGTAGCTATTCGACTACGCTGAGTGGCTCTAAGTTCTCTTCTGTGTCGTGCTCTTCGAGGATTTCACCGGGCGGCAACGGCTTGGCTGTGTGCAGAAATCCCTGGCAGAGTGGACGCGGTGCTTCAGGTGTCTGAACGTCGTTGATCTCGCGCTGCACGAAGTGCATGTGGTAGTATGGGGTGAAGATACACTTGTAGAGCTGGAAATGTCGATAGTACGAGTTCGTGACGTAGTCCACAATTACCGCGACTTCCTCGCGACTAAAGATCCCCACACTGCCAATACGACGTCGACAGGAGGTGAGCTGTATGGCGTACGCGTCGCGTCGCTCAAGTCGACGTATCTTACCTCTTTGGTGAGCGATTGACGCTGTGTGTGAGCAGAGTAGCCTGAAAACACTCAAAACTACTCTTAAGGTCGGTCTTGCTGTCCCGCGCGAAGTCACGCTTCATGAGCATCTGGCAGATCCCGAGGAACACGGACGTCTGGTTGAGTTCGAAGTGCCTCTGTCTGCAAAACGTATAACCTCCATTCGTTAAGGAAAGCTATCCAAGTCCTTAACTCACATCTGAAAATGCACTTGACAGTCCATAAGCTGCAACTTAGACAGTGTGAAGGAAGAAAGGATATGAATAGTTGTGAAGGTGGAAGTCGAGCAAAAAGCTCTGCTTCTCGTCCGAAAGATCCAGCTCGAAGATCTCCGCCAGCGCACTAACATATCAACAGCATTCAACATTTCAGCAACAGTAGCCGCGTCATCCAGCTGCGCCATGCTCTCATTGCAAACTGTCTTTGCACCTTTTGCAGTCGTCCACCGAGTGTCGTGTAGCCAATTGCGCCAATTCACACTCGCTCGCGTGCTTCCACACGATCGCCTCCGTCTATAAAGTGTAGAAAAGCGGTCAGCCCTTTCGCAACTCTTCATGCTGGTGCTACCTCGTCATTTCTCATAAGACCGAGGTGAATACTCGTGGCTCTACCAGCGCGACAATAGTCAAAGCGCATGTATCATTCGCACCATGACGCTACGCTATCCGAAGTTGCGCCGTTTCAGGTTATCGTACTTTATCGGAAGTCGCGACCGTCTATGCAGCCATTTCCGAAGCGTGGCTCTTAGACAGCCAATCATCGCAAAGTGTTCGGAGACGAAGGTCAGTACAAGTCCGTATATACAGGTTTTGTTTCCCTCAAAAACCTTTATTGCTGAAGAAAATAAGGACATAATGCACCCATACCTCTTTAAACCCAGATGTCACTATCAGCGCTTTGCGCGTGGCTGGCTCTTTTTTCTGCCAATAGAAATGGCTCCCCCCTCTCCCTACACGGCATAGCCTGCGTCGGCCGGACCGGACACGTGAGTTGCTAACAGTTAGCTTCGCAGAGACCTCCACCGGTCGTCCCCCCGCACAGCTAGCACCACGGCGACCCCAAGCAGCGACATGGAGGCGGCTACGGTGCCCAGAGACGCCGCTAGTCGCTCGTGTAAGACGCCTGCAGGTCCCGAGGACGCGCCCGAGATCGTAGGCGAACCTGTGACCCTCGAGGAGCTTGTGCCTAAGAGCAAACAACAGGCCGCAGCGAAGAAGGAGAAGGAGAACAACGAAGCCGAGCAGGAGGAACAAGTAGAGACCACAGAAACAGACGCATCAGCGGAGAGCGTGGAGCCTGTCGAGAAGACGACAGAGAAGTATGACGACGCGAACGAAAATGGCGACAGTACCGGTAACCCGGAGGACATGGAGGTTATGATGGAGCTGGCGGTTTACGATGACGACGACGACGAGGAGGACGACGAGTTCCACGAGGCCATGGAGGACGGCGTGGACTTGTTAGATGAGGACGCCGTGAAGCCTTCAGTGCCTCAAACAATGAGTTTCTCGGTCAACGAGATGGAAGTGATCACGAACCGTGGAGGACGCACTGGCAGTCTGTCCAAGTTCCTGGATGACGCTGACACGTACCGTCGCCGGTCTCTCCCGTCGTATCCAGAGGACCAATTGTTCGCTAGCTCCATGAGCCAGAAGAAAATGACTCTGCCAGCCTTCCTGGACATGCAGATCGACCCAGTTCTGGAGATTCTAGAGGATACCGACTCCGATATCCGCTTGTGGCTTATGCAGCCCGAGACAGTAAAGGAAGTGCTCGCAGAGTTCGTCACGCCACCCGTACTTAGTGGGGAACCGCATGAAGAGTACGGCTACTACAAGAAACACTTTTTATGCTCCGAGATCATCATGAAACTGTACACAGGCGAGGAAGATCTGTACGAATCCTTCTCTTCCGACTCCAGTTCGGGCTCCGCGGCGTCGACTGCGGTCTTTGGGTGCCAGGAGCCAGAAGATATCGCCAAATGGGAGCAACTCTACTCGATCTTCAAGAACCCCATCCCATTGGATGAAATGCAGCTACTCTTCTTCAGTAAGGCGCTTGTGCGTCTTCACGACGGCTTCTGCTTGGAAGAAGGATACGTCAACAACGTACTTAAGCGGTTCTTACCTTTGGTCATCCCGCACTTGTACTCGAACACGATCAAGTACATGCTCACGCTCGTTCTACAGAGCTACGAGAGCGTCCACCCAATCACAGGACGCAACGACGCCATGGAGATCGCGGCACGGCTGCTGGCCGAGGCGACCCGCGTAGATCCCTCTAAGCCGGAGAACCTCCCTCTAGTAGAGAACACGACCAATCTGCTCGTCGACATGCTCCAAGCCAACCAAGCAGACAGGTTAGGGGCCTTCAGTCGACGCGAAGGAGGCGTCTACTTGTCCAAATACTTTGTTCGCGATCAGTTCGGCACCATTCGCGGCTTTGAGTCGATGACGCATGGCTACCACAACTTTTTGCAGTATATGCTGCTGGAGGAGATGTCCAAGCAGCCAGTGATCGTCGAGGCGATCTTTAAGAACGCCTCGGACGAGCTCGCAATTATCCGCGACAAGAAGTTGACGGAGGTCTCGAGTGCGCTGAACATCCACGTGGCTGCTGAGCTGCTCGTGCTGTGCCAGAAACTGCTGAGCGAGAGCGCAGAGAGCGACGAAGACAATCAGACGCCGGTGATGGAAGCGCAGAACACGCAGATGTTCGGATACTCGAGTTTCCAGGCCGAGCACTACCCGAACTCGCCCCACGATGGCTCTAGCGAGACGTCCATGTACAACTTGACGTCTCTGCCGCGTGGCCATGCGCTGTGGACGTCTGTGCTCGGTGAAGCGCGAAGAACTTGCGGCTCGTTTGTGGCGCAGCTGGACAGCGGTCTGCCGTCGTCTGTGGAGATCTCATTAGCTAAATATCTGAACAACCTGGTGCTGCTGAACGACCCGAGTCTGGACGAGGAGTTGCACAAGAACGGATTGATCCAGGCCTATCTGTCGATTCTGGAGAAGAGGTCGTCGTTCGACATGCTCATGATCCACGTGGTGCCTGCCATCTCGTTCATTCTGCGGGATGCCGACGCCTCGAGGGCGAAAAACTGTCCGCTGACGAAGGATTTGTTCGGCGTGGACGTCAAAGTGCCGGAGAACATCATCAGTCTGTTGCTGCGAGCCAAGGTGGACATCGCATCGCTGGATATCTACGCGGCTATTCTCCACGACGTGATCGACGAGGTGTTCACGAGCAAGGCGCCGTCCCAGAACAACGCGCAGGTTGTGTTCCATTGCAAGCGCAACCCCGCGTGGGCCAAGCTGTCAGAGAAGACGAGGTTCAGTAGTGGATCGGAGAACTCGGCGCGTGGCTCGGATGAGAGGAGGAGCTCCGTGGGTGAACAGGCCTCAAGCAGCGAGCGAGGCTCAGCTGTGGAGTCTGCGAGTGTCGAAGAAGCGTCAACTGCCGAGTCATTGCTACAGGAGGAACCGGAAGCATCGTCTGAAGAGCTAGAAGCAGCATCGGAGGAAGGCAGAAGCTCTGTTAGTGAGAAGGAAGCCCCGTCGTCTGAGTTGGAGTCATCTGAGACGACAGACGAGAAGGAAGAGGCCTCTCAGGACGCCACACAGACAACTCCGCCTGTTGTCGTCTCTGAGTCCGACACGAAGTCTGCTTCTCCGTCTCCTACGTCCAAGGAGGACTCGCCGATGAAGTCTCCGAAAGAAAAGACGGAAACGAACAGGAACAGCGAAGCGGACGGCTCGCGCAAGTCAAATTACTTCAAGAACGTCCTTCAGTCTCCTGTCTTCAAGTCGCCCATGCGTCTAGGCTCGGTGATTAAACCCCCCGTCGCTCCGCCAGCTCAAGACTCGAGCTCTTCGCAGTCGAATGGAGACAGCAACCAACGCAACTCGTTCGGCTGGAATAGCGTCTTCAAACGGCTACGGAAGTCGCTGGTGACAACGCATAATGACAAGGTGGACAAGAAGGTCTTGGCCCTGAGTAACGAGGCCTACGCGTCTCCCAACGTGGCTCCTCGACAGACCGATGTCTTCGTTGTAGACACGTCGCGGGGCGACGACATCACCATATTCGTGAACCGTGACGCGGGAGTGCTCGTCACTGACGTCCCTGCAGCGTCGTCCAAGTCGTCCGAGTCCTCTATGAACGTCATTACAGCGGGGTATATGTACAAGAACAAATACCCCGAGACCGGCCACAAGAACGTGTGGGAGCGCTACTACTTCGTGCTCAACCGCTCGGACGGTTCCTTGAGCTACTACATCAGTGAGGCTCATGCCAAGGACCGCACGTTCCTCCGCGGCACGTCACGTCCGCTAACGGTGTCGGAGGGCCTTTCAATGCACGTACACGGCCAACACAGTGTCTTCGGCTTCCAGATCAACACACAGGGACACGGCGCGTTTATGGTGTTGGTGGACTCGATCGACACGCGTCTCACGTGGCTCACGGAGATTTTAGTCTGCGTGTCGAATGCCAACCCGTCGCCCCCGCTGCCGAAGCAGCGACTGTCGCTAGTGCCTGACGATGCACCGAAGCAGCGGCTGTCAGCCACGACAAGCTCCATCTCGTCGCTGAAGTGCAGCAAGGAGGAGATGAGAGAGCTGGTAGTGGAATTCTACCGCAATTTGTTCGGCCCGAACCTGAAATTCTCGTCGCCGTTGGACGCGCCGGCGTCATTTTGGATGGAAGAGAAGATCGAGCCCGTGTCGGACGGCTGCGTCTTGAGCTCGAATCTTCCGGACTGCGTGCCCTACTGGGGCGAGTTCCACGGCTACAAGCGACTGTGCGACTACTGGAAGATTCGGGACGAGACGGTGGAGCGCAGTAGCGGCCGTGTGCTGCGTATCCTGGTGGACGAGGACGAGGAGACGGCTGTGGTGATGACGTCCACAACGTTCCGAATCCTGCGCAATAGCGAGATCGTGACGGAGGAGTCGTGCGATATCGTGAGTGTGAGCGGCGGCAGTATCGTGAGCATCCACTGCACTTTCGACTCGCATCGCATCGCCCAAGCCTTCAAAAAGTACGCACGCTATCATCCGAGTGTTTGTAACGTTATAGTCTCAGTTACTAACTGTCTGTTCTGGTGTTGTAGGGAGGGGATCAGCGCGTCGTAGGCGTCTTGGACGGTTCGTTATGTTCGTGATATGCGTGCAAGTGCGTGTACGTGTTTTGGAGCAGAAGCGCTGATGCTGTTACCCGCCTGGACTGAGGAGGAAGCAGCAGAGCTGTGAATGAATCGATGACGACAAAGGTGGCGAAAGAGCAGAAGACTGACAAGGCCAAGCTTACAGCTCGTGCTACCACATGTAGAGACCTAGAGCAAGAGAGCAGACAGAGAACTATGTTGTATCGGGCGCCACGAAAGACGGCAGCCCATTTTCCTTTTTACTACTACCCCCATATTATCATTTCTCGAGCTGAGCAATAGCCAATGTCATACGAGCTTTGTTGGTGTTTTTAGTTGGATATCCTTGTCAAACATCTTTCTGTATACATGTACTACTACAGTAGTAGACTACTAATACTGCTTGTAGTATAATAGGATACCGGTACCAGTTCAGAAAAAAAGAATATTGTGTACATGTAGTAGTACTTCTAAGCTTCTTATTAGAATTATCTAAGAAAATAGTACTTCGAAGTAGGAGTTGATTTGCCATGGTCACGACCAAACCATGGAGACTACAGAAGACCTGGAGAGCAAATACGGCGATCTCGCGTCTTTCTCCGTGACGACGGCTGCAACGGATCTCGCGACTTTTATCTCCAAATTTACAAATGGGGCTGACACCATCGTGTATGGCGTGAGCTACGCACACTATTTACAGAAAGGCTCATGCATCTTGCTCCTCCTGAAGTAACTGGATACGTGCTGGATGGAATCGCTACAACTTCTGGAGCACCTGAGTTCTTCTATGCGTCGAGATTGGATAACGACTTTGGTGAAGTGGGCGGCGTTTTCTTGTCACTTTGTGAGAGCGACAGCAAGTGCAAGTCCCGCTTCGATGCTAAAGGTCTCGACAACACTCTTCAGGATCTAATTGAGCAGTTTGACGACGATCCATACTCAGCATGTGCTGCGTTGGTCAACAGCACGGGGAACGACGAGTCACCGTCTTTCCGTCTCCGCACTGCACTCGGCAACGCGTTGTCAGACTCGTACATTAGGACGCTCATCCCACCGGTTGTTTACCGCCTCGCACGTTGTGCTCCTGATGACATGGATGTTCTGAATCAATTCTTCACGTCTATCAGCGCATTCGTGAATTCCAAAACGCAAGACAGCGCGTTCGACTCGAACCTTCTCTATAGCTTGATCGTGTTCGCTGAAATGATAGAGTCACCACTGCCATCCTTGTCGGAACTATATGATCGCTTTACGAGAGTGAAAATGAGTACTGGTTTTATTTTTTTGGCCCTCAAAACTGTGCCTTCTCGAAAGAGGAGTCGCCTTCGTGTGAAGAGATGGACGTGGGCACATACGACTCCAACGGCATCGTGTACAAGCGTGATCAGTACTGGAACAAGACAGCTACAATTCCAAACCAAGCGAGTGTGTTGCTGATGAGTGGCAAACTGGATCGCCAGACACCCAACAAATACGCCGAGTACTTATTTGACGCACTTCGGGGAGAGAAGAAGGAGTTGATAGCGTTCGAGTTCGCAACACACGACACTGTCGTTTCGACTCGGATGGTTGCAGGTGATCCGTGGAGCGAAGCTTGCGGAATGAAGGTACTGGCATCGTATGTGCGTGTAGGTGGAGACCTCGATCGCTTGGATAAATCGTGTGTGGCGGAAATGCCAGCATTCGATCTAGCCACGCCAGAGTACTATCTGTCCAGGCACGGACGATGCCTACGATGGCGTGTATAGTTCCAGCCTCGTGCCAGACACCTAGGTGGCTGTTTTTTCAGCTACATGTTCTGAAGAGAAACACTGCCCCAAGGGGAACCTGTGGAGGTAACCTGGGCCGCGACACAATCAAGCAGGGTGCTGTGTCCCGTGCCGCGATGATCCATCGTATACACGTTAACCGTACCATTCAGCTTCGCGTGCAGGGTCACCATATCCGTCTCCACTACAGGCAACACGAATCAGAAATCGCCACATCACCAAAATCAGTAACGCGTCAGCTAATGCAGGCAAAATGGAGTTATACTTACAGCTTGCGGACGATGACCCTGGGCCACCTTGAAGCATCCATACATTGGCTGCAGTGGCGGGGTTGGCTGCGGGTAAACGCTTAACAAAAATGTCAACTTTCGAGTTGACACCCTGAGGAGTTTCGCAAATTTCAGGATAGCACAACGGTGCACTGTACACAGCGCATTCAGCGTCTAGACCCGTCGAGCTACCTGCATCCGAGAATGTGTACTCAGAACACGGGTACCAGCCATTCAGGGCACTTTTTGAGATAGTTTTAGAGGCGCTGAAGGCTTGCGTGGTGACCATTGCCCATGCGATGGTGTAGCGAAGCTGCATCTTGCTTGTGAAGACTTAAGGGATAGAAACTTATTCGTTGCCGACGAATTAGGAAATGGGATCCTGGTTCCGCACACTCAGTGAGAAACATACAGATAGCTGACGTTGCATTGCCGTCGTTAGAACACACATCGCTTGACCCTTTGAAAGACAATCGCCGACGTCTAGTGGCATCTTTTATTAATCCAAGTGTACATGTAGCTGATGATGCAACAAATTACCCCATCATCTGCAAAGGTTCGGTTCGTCACATGCTGTTGCTCTTGCTAAATCACTCTTTTGATTACAATTGCAAATGATTACCTCAGAACCAAGCTACCATGCGTATGCTGGGACCAAGTAAAGATATAGAGCTTTAGCTGATCGCACTTCGGGTATTTGCGATGATTCTGATTACCAATTTGATTGCATCAATTTTACATATATTTAAACATGTAACGTATAATATCGATTAGAGTTCCCCTAGCGAATAGAGTGCGGTTCCGCAGCTTACTCTAAAACAATAGAGTGCGATCAATTAGAGTGCGCTCACTGAGCAACCTGTCACCGCCATTCGTTTCCTTCTGCACCACACATGTATCGGGTCTCAATTGCTTTGTTTCCTAAGTCTCCTTTTTGTCATGCCAGCACAACGCAAGTCCGTCGAGATCAGCCTCAAGCAGCAGGCTATCGACTGGATCGAGTCCGAAGGGGGTGGAATTCCTTCTCGGGCGGAGCCACACTTTCGCCAGCTCGGTTGGCGAGTGTCGGCGTTTGCCTACCGCAAGTGGTGGCGCGATCGCGACCAAATTAGTGCGGAGTCTGTTGCTCGCTTTCGGAGTTTTGGCGGGGGTCGAAAGCCCCTTCTAGGGGTTGTCGAAAACGAGTTGGTGGACTTGCTGTACGATGAGCGTCTCCGGAAAGAAAAAGTAACGCGGGAGTGGATAGCGTCGACTGCGATTGCGCTCTTTCAGGAAAGTCGCTCGGAAAAGCAGCACGAAGACGACCCAATACGTTTCGTGGCGTCTGATCCGTTTGTGCAAGGGTTCATGAAGCGCAACCGTCTAACGTTTCGAAAGCGTACCAGCCTCACAACACTCGACGATGACGAGTTGGTGGAGCGATCAGTTTCCTACATAACCTATTTGGGCGACCACAAGCCATCCATGAGCCGCGACCGGACCATTCTAATGGACGAGACCGCTGTCTATTTTGAGGATGCTCGAGCTCACACGGTTGATGAGGTTGGAGCACGCCACGTCGTCATTCGTTCTACTGGGTTCTCGTCCATGAGAATTACTGCCGCGCTTGCAGTAACAGCGTCAGGGAAGAAGCTGCCGCCGTGTCTTATCTGGAAGCTAAAGACGCGGGGTCCAATTGAGTGTGTCGGCGGGTGCTACGTTGCTTATCAAGAGAGAGCGTGGGTGGACCAGAACCTGCTCCTCAACCGGCTGAATTGGTACTTCCCTAAAGTAGCCAAAACGACTGGAGAGTATGTCGTCTGGGACTTAATGCGGACGCATATCGCTAAGGAGGTCTAGCAGCGATGCCAGGAGAAGGACGTCGGCATGGTCGTGATTCCGGGAGGCTTGACGCCCTACCTCCAGACGGGTGATGTCGGAATCTACAAGTCCTTTAACCCCTCCGTTACGAGAGCAAATCTTGAATGCACAGACTATTTTTCACATGCTTGATATCAAGCATGTTAAAAAAAGTCTTAACGTAAAATTTGTATAGAAAAAAAAAGATCGGTGTCTGTATATTTGTACAAGATCCTGCAATCGTACGTATTATGAACCCACATGCTTTAAATCGAGCATGGTGAGTAAATTCCGTAAAGCCCATACGCGACATCATGCATGTGCAAATGGCTCTTTTATTGGGAATGAATCTTTTTTGACGGAGTCACGTGCAGAACGGCTACGAAAGCAAATTTGTGTATTGCATCTGTTTACTAAAAGCAAGTCATTTGGGCTATTACCTACGCAGTTTCACTGTTTTCTACTCTTGGTGCTCTCTCTCTACCGCGTCGTCACCCCAGTTTCCGTTGTCTCGTTCTGATCACTATCAGAATTTTCACCACCATCACTTCCCTCATTGCCGAGGCCTGCGGCCTCCTCCTCGTCCCACCGCCCCCGTCCTCTTCACGACCCTCTTGTCCTTCCGCCCGCTTTTTTTTGGGGGGAGGGGGGGCTCAGCTGGATACCGCGGCCGTGGCGCGGCTGTGGGCGCTCGCTTCCATTGCGCCAAAGTTGGTGCCAAATGGAGAAGCAAGTCTGGTTGTTATTGGGGTAATGTGCTTGGCGCACCTTGTCACACAAGTAGACACTGCATTATACGTGTTAGATAGCAGTAGTAAGAAACATAGAGCATAGCAACGTACCGTTTTGAGCCTTTACTGCAGCCAGGACAGTAGAATCGCGTCACCTGCCGCTGTGTACTGCTTGTTTTCCGTATAGTACAGACCTTGCACTGCCGTTGACGTCGCTTTCGAATTCCATTCACCTCCACCCATTCGTCGTCTATCTTTAGTTGGTGGGTGGACGGTGGAGCGTCGCCATGCAGTGGTGTAACTGGTCTAGCTGAGTACATCTTTGGACACATATAGTACTAGTTAGCAATGAGAACAGCAAGCAGAATGAGCACCTTACTTACCGTGTTTGCAAATTCGGCTGACCCCACTTGTGGTAGCTGGGTTTGCAACTGAGCGATGAAACCGGTTAGTTTGAATGGTCCCCACAGAATAGACGTTCCTCTCAAGAAGTTGTAGCGAACTTTGTATCTATTAGATTAGACAGATCAGACCCTTCAACGATGCGCCAATTGTCCATGATGTCCTGCCAGCGTTCGGCCTCCTCCTTACTTCGCGGAGGTCGCTGCCCTCCGCGACGGTTTGTTGTAAGAGCTGCGCCAACTGCAGGTGTAGAACTCGGTGAATCGCCAGTTGGAGATGCATCTAGTGACAGTTCATCACTCGTCTCCGTGTCGCTCTCGCTTGGGATCTCAGCATCCACAACATCTCCAAGATTGTCCATGTCCTCGTACCATTCTGCTGACCCAGTGTCTGAGTCATCGTAATCCGAATTCAATGCACCACCATCATAGATGTCATCATCGTGACGGGAATCTTGACGGAAATAGAGAGGAGGCGGTGTTGTGGGAATAACACTAGCCATATCCAGTGACCTTGCAAAACCAACAATAATATACAGCATGTTGTCAAAATAAATCTCGCACATGCTTGATATCCATCATGTGACAGCGTACCTGGCAGCCGAAGACCGAGGTGGCGGTAGCGGTGAAGTCTGTTGCGCAGAGGAAGCACCTTCCGATGTCGACATGGCTACACGATTTGTCTGCGTTGTGTCTGTTGCACATGGCGGAGATGGCGACGTTTCGCTATAGTCCAAATCCTCACCAACAGACGCATCGCTACAAACAATTACAATCATAAAGTGTGAGATACACATCGTACGCAAAACGCATAATCTCCTCACCTGACGTAGCAGCAACGTGCGGGCTCGTTGTACGCGCAGATTTGTCAGCTCTTGATCTCTTCGATGGTGCGCGCTTACGCTTACCTTTTGCTTTGGCCTTGCCAGGCGCCTTTGCCGGTCTTTTCTTTTTCGCCGCCTTCTTCGGTGTTGTGGTCTCTGGCGCTGTCGCCATGTCAAACTCGACGTCGTCATTTCCTTGGTCTTCTCCTGTTCCTACGTAATCTTCGTCTCCGCTGTCACTCCCATCCTCATCAGCAGAAGCAGCATCGGTAGCAAGCTCTTCTGCATGCAATGCTGCGACTGACGCCTTCCCTTTCAATCGCGGCGCTCTTGCCAGCAAATTGTAGTACCCCACTAGTGCACCCTTCTTCTGGTACGTAGCTGGAGCAGGAGGCTTGCGTGAGGCCACTGTCATCCTAGGCCGCCTTCCTGTCGTTGCTGACGTGGGAGCTGAAACAAGCGGCTCACCCGCAACGTCGTCACCAAAGTCAGCATCGCGGTCACGCGTACCGTCGACATACGCGCGGTGCTCTTCAAGCAGCCGGGCGCGTTCTGCGCCTTCCTTCCCGTCGAGACGACGCAGGAACGCCTCCGCTTCAGCGCGCGTGACGCGGCGGGGAGGCATCTTGGTCCCGCGTTTCGTTTTGGAGAATGAATGGATGGCTCAGAGGCTTCTCGTTTGAAGCACTGTCTTTACGACAGCGTATCTCCAAGGAACTTTCTCTTTACCGTTAGGACCCCAAGCCCTGTGCATTGGGGACTAAACGGACTAAACGCCCATTCTATGACGATCCCCACATGCTTGATTATCAAGCATGTGGAAAATGTCACATGCCTCCTTATCAAGCCTTAGTGACGGAGGGGTTAAGGACAACCTGTGCAAGATCAGCAATGAGTGGAAACACTCGGACCAGGTTCGCTACACTAGAGGAGGGAATTCTCGCCCGCCTAAGGTTGAATTGGTTGCAGCATGGGTAATGAAAGCGTGGCGAAAGACGCCAGACTTTGTCGTTGCAAAAAGCGTTTCGATCTGTGGCTTTAGCGACGATCCGACTTCGTAGCATGTTGCTCGCCACGACGTGTACGGAACCAAGTTCCGCGAGGCTTGGGAACTTCGTAGCCACGACAGTGCTGACGTCGATAGCGGAAAAATTGACGACTGTGAAAGTTTCGAGCACATCTTGGAGACGCTAGACGACATCGCCATCGAGGATTAAGAAGCAGCAAACGATAGGTTAGTCGAGCGTGCAGCTAGGTTAATGACAATACACAAGGAGACTTACCATTTCAGCACGGAGAATTAACGTACTCGATAGGAATCGAACCCGCGACAACCCTGCTCCCACTTGGGGCCCTCACTAAACCCTGGTGTCTTTACCACCTGAGCTGTCAGTGCTGGTGATATGTCGGAAAAGAGTGCGCATAAAATAGAGTGCCGCACTAATTTTTATTATTATAATAAAGCACAGTACCGTATTTGTCGAGAAAACATCC